TGATCGGGCGGAGAAGGCCGTCGTCGACAAGAGACTGCAGCATCTCCACGGACACATCAGACGGCTCCCAAGGATCCGCCGGGAGGATGACAGGGCCGTCGGCCATTGCGCGGGGGGGGATGCTGCTACGACGGTAAGTCTCTCTCTCTCTCTTGCTCTTCCTCTCTCCCTCGCCCTTCTCCCTTCTTCTCCCCGGTGCTCTCTGTTCTTGGCAACGGCTCGAAGGCAGAAAAGGCAAGTATGGGCAAGGTAAGGAGGGGAGGGGCGAGACTCGTTTCGTATTTATGCAGGGAAAGGATGAAATAGTCAGGCGATGAAATCAGGGAAGTTTCCCTCGAGTCCAGGCATGGTTAATCCAGATCCGATTTCACCGCCCACGCGCCCACCTTTTCCTCATTAATCACACGGACGGTTATGTCTTTCCCGCTGACACTGCGTCGCTTCCAACCGCAGCAACAGCAGGCCCCGAGAAACTGCCTCAAAAGGCACGCCTGCCGTTGTCAGCCGATGGGAGGGGAATATTCCCCCAGCCGATTCCTTCCAGACTAAGGAACTGGGCGCCGAGCCCGTTACGGTCCAGGGGTTCGAAGGCTAGACCCCCGAGGGTTTCTACAGCCGCCCCAAGACAACAGAGTCAGGGACAGCTATGGGCGAGCCCATACATGGCTGAGGCCCGAGCAAGTGATCGCTCGGGATGCCCTAAGTTGTGTCCGAGACCAGCAAGGAGTTCTCCGAATGGGATCCCACCGTAGGGAGGCGCTGAGCCCTCGGGGCCAATCGAACGGCCCTGGGACCCACTAGAGAAGCCCTCTAGTACTTTTGGAGTGCGTCTCTAGACCACTAGCTGACCCCTATCGAATGGGGCACGGGCCTCCACTTGGACTTACCCGATAGCAGCTCATCGGAAGTGTCACCGCTCGCGCCCACCGAGGGTAGCCTAGCATATTCCACCCCTCCTTCTGAGCGAAAAGGATGCGTGAGGGTCGCATAAAAAGCCAGGGGAACTCCTGACCGCCCTCTCGCTCTGTGTGGAGACTCGGGGGCTCTCCCTACAAACCTTGCCAAGACCCAGCGACCTAGGCACACACTCGAGGGGGCTCAGCAAACAAACCCCTCCTTCCAAGCGAAAAGGATGCGTGAGGGTCGCATAAAAAGCCAGGGGAACTCCTGACCACCCTCTCGCTCCCTGCGGAGACTCGGGGGCTCTCCCTGCAAACCTTGCCAAGACCCAGCGACCTAGGCTCACACTCGAGGGGGCTCGGCAAACAAACCCCTCCTTCCGAGCGAAAAGGATGCGTGAGGGTCGCATAAAAAGCTAGGGGAACTCCTGACCACCCTCTCGCTCCATGCGGAGGCTCAGGGGCTCTCCCAGCAACCTTGCCGAGACCCAGCGACCCAGGCTCACACTCGAGGGGGCTCGGCAAACAACCCCCTCCTTCTGAACAAAAGGATGCGCGAGGGTAGCCTAAAGAGCCAGGGGAACTCCTGATCGCCCTCTCGCTCCGTGCGGAGGCTCGGGGGCTCTTCTTGCACCCAAAATGAAAGCAAGCCACCCAAGCTCGCACTCGGAGATTCGAAAAAACGCAACAAAAAGGGTGCCGAGCCCGTTATGGTCCAGGGGTTCGAAGGCTGGACCCCCAAGGGTTTCGACAGCCGCCCCAGGACAACAGAGTCAGGGACAGCTATGGGCGAGCCCGTACATGGCCGAGGCCCGAGCAAGCGATCGCTAGGGATGCCCTAAGTCGTGTCCGAGACCAGCAGGGAGTTCTCCTAATGGGATCCCATCGTAGGGAGGCGCCGAGCCCCCGAGGCCAATCGAATAGCCCTGGGACCCACTAGAGAAGCCCTCTGGTACTTTTGGAGTGCGTCTCTAGACCACTAGCCGACCCCTATCGAATGGGGCACGGGCCTCCACTCGGACTTACCCGATAGCAGCTCACCGGAAGTGTCACCGCTCGCGCCCACCGAGGGTAGCTTGGCATATTCCACCCCTCCTTCCGAGCGAAAAGGATGCGCGAGGGTCGCATAGAAAGCCAGGGGAACTCCTGACCGCCCTCTCGCTCCGTGCGGAGGCTCGGGGGCTCTCCTTGCAAACCTTGCCGAGACCCAGCGACCTAGGCTTGCACTCAAGGGGGCTCGGCAAACAAACCCCTCCTTCCGAGCGAAAAGGATGCGTGAGGGCCGTCAAAAAAGACAGGGAAACCACTGATCGCGCTCTCACTCCTTGCGGAGGCTCAGGGGTTCTTCCTACAACTAGGCCAAGTCCCAGCAACCCGAACTCGCATTAATGGGCCCAGCAAACACGATAAAACTCCTTGCTCAACGGAGCAAAAGCCCCTAGAGGAGTAAACCCACTCCTCCAGTGCCTCGGGGGCTACACCCGGTGGGTGCGCTCGCGTGCACCCACCGGAACAACCAAGTACAAAACACAATCCTGATGGGAGCTACTGCGAGCCAAGTCTCATCAAAACCTCAGGAAAGTGCCCGCACTCCTCCCGAGGCTCGGAGGCTACTGTCGAATACCACAAGAAGGGGTACCCTAAGCAAGAACCGAAAATATTGCTTAAGCCTTGCAAAAATCAAAGCCAAAGGACAACCACGAGGTCTCGGCAGATTCTTCGATTCACCCGAGGCTTGCGCCGAGGCCTCAGACGAAAGGCCAAAGCTCTCCGCCCCGCCGAGGCCCTCACGCCGAGGCCCCGCCCCGCAAGGCCTCGGACGGGATACCAATTCTCCGATTCACCCGAGGCTGGGCTCGGCAACAACCTCGTCACCTTTGTCTCGACCGACTCCTCTGACAAAACGTCATGTCCAGTTAATGCGCCCAACTACTCCCACAATGTCAGCCGCATGTTGGCGTAGTATAGGCAGAGTGACCGACGGGATAGGGGACCGGGCGCAGCAGGAGTTACCTGCCACTATGCTCATCACTGTGGCCCCCGCTAACACCCGTACTGCCCTGTGCTACCTAACTCCTGCACCAAGGAAAAAGCGGCATGGAGGGTCAAGTCCGGGTCCCTGTAGTCTCAAAATCAGCATGAAAGACCAACTGCTCGTCCTCCGCCTTGTTCGAGACCCCCCGGCAGGGCCTCGGACATACTATTCCTTCTCCGCCTCGGCCGAGGCCGGGCTCGTCCTGCATCCTCGTCGCCTCCGCCTCAACCGTCCCTCTAGTGAGCCGTCCCATCCGTTTAAAGTGTGCCTGGTCACACCTACTACGTCAGCCACCATGCTGGCAGGGTACAGCAACAGCGGTGATAGGACAACGGTCAAATCTCCTTTTTACCATCCCCTACTAACGGTGCAGGGGTTACCATGCCCTGCGGTCACACGCTCCGCACTCTTCCACCAAAACTGGGTACGACACTGACCATCAAGACCCCCGCATCATACATGGGTCACCTCCGAGGCCTCGGCAAAGCAGGCCTCGGCATGATCAGCTACAGCACCCGCCAGGCCTCGGCACTCCACCAAGTCAAGAATCCACAAGGCACGGCATGTCTCCTATAGTGGAGGCCATACTGACTAGACGTCAACAAGGACCCCCACGACCTCAACAACCTTGAGCCAGGCCAGCACGACGCGCCAGTCAAGTACCGATCGCCATTCCCAACACCATGCTGCTACAGGACTGAACTACAGTAGGCTCCACATGTAGCTCACTCATGTACTCATGGCTCCCTCCTTGCGGTTATAAAAGGAAGCAGCCAGGGATAGCTCTAGGGGAGGCGAAAAAACATATGAAAGAACCACGCTCTCACACACGCGCAAGCGACACTCTGTAACACACGCTCTCCCAAGCTACCTGAGAGCAACGTCTCAAGCAGCCCGCACCGTTCTACGCCGAGACCTGGTACTAGCTACCTCTGTCACCCAGCTTGTAACCCCCTACTACAAGCACTTCGGTGCAAGGAATACAAGATCTATCTCTCAGACTGGACGTAGGGCACCAATTGCCTGAACCAGTATAAACCTTGTGTCTCTTTGCATCACCATCCGGGATTAGGGGCACGCAGTTCAAATTCACTGGTTGGTTGAGGACCCCCGGTCCGAAACACCGACAATACTGAACATGTCAACCACTAAAAAGGTATGCTTTTCACAGCTTGGATGGCCTTGCCTTCTGCTTATAATTTGTCGAATATAACATGTCAACCACTTGTGTATCCTGACATAATACTCCTAGGCGTGTTGTATATCTAGGTTCTTCTTAATTTGTCGAATATAACATGTCATCTCTGCATAGTACAGGCTGTAGAGATTCTTTTTTCCCTACCTAGGAAAGTTAAATAAAATGGCTGCTATCATCTACGTTGCTTACTAGTTTGGAGCTCTGCTCTTCTGGAGCATTTTAGGAAGAGCAATAGAACTAGTTTGGAGCTATGCTTACAGTGTGGGCTGCTTCAACTTGCTGACTTGGCTGCTTACTAATTAGTGTGTCTTCTAGTTGTGAAAGAAACTGGTGGAGCAGTGGACTGCAGCTAAGGCTTAACTGTAGCCTCTCCATACAAGATCTATAAAATACCTGCAAGTTCAGTTATGCATCTTTGTTCCTGGTTCATATTTTCAGTTATCCTTTATGTGGATTGTAGCCTCTACATAGTTGCCTACTTTTACTATGCTATGTAGGTGTCATATGAAGAACTTGGAAGCCAAATCAAGATTTGATGATGCTTTAGAAGAAAGGAAGACCTTGCATTAGTGGATTCTTACACTAAGATAACTAAGAGAATGATTTTAGCACATGTAACTTATGGTAGTGTCATCTAAGTGCATCAGCTGATTCTTTCATTTTTCTATATTGAGTAAAATGCACCGGAGGCCCATTAACTTTCGTTCGGGTGTCATATAGGTCCATCAACTTTGAAACTGCATTTTTTGGTCCATGAACTTTCAAAATGGTTCACTGCAAGTCCATACCTATTTATTTAACCTTAAATCCAACATACATTTGTAGAAAACCCCCTATAGAGTGCATACAGTGATACCTTTGCTGTGCCATGAAAAGAATTGAAAAGTAGTAAGTACAATTTTTCAAAGAAAAAAAAGAATTGAAAGGCCCTCACGCCCAGCCTCCTCCACGTCAGCTCCTCTGCGTCCAGCACCATCTACCAGTACCACCACAAGGACGGCGAGGACAGCGACACCAGCACCAACGGCGGCAACGACTCGGACGGCGCCGGCGAGGACGAGGACGCTGAGGTGCTCGGCGAGTCCACGCAGGCGGAGCAGCTGCTGCCCAGCGGTGACTTCTACCAGGGCGACCTGCACGGGGACCTCCAGCATGGTGTGGGCAAGTTCCTGTGGACCGACGGTAGCATGTACGAGGGCGCCTGGCGCCGCGGCCACGCGTCGGCCGCGGCAAGTTCTCCTGGACCATTGGCGCCACACGAGGGCAACTTCGCTGGCGGGTACATGCATGGCCAGGTCACCTACATTGGCGAGTTCGGGGACACCTTAGCGGGACTCTGGACCAACAACCTTCGCCACGGCCGGGGCACGCAGGCGTACGCCAACGGTGATGTCTATGACGGTGACTGGTGCCACGACCATGAGTACATCGGCCCCTGGAGGTCTGGCGACATGCATGGCTGCGGAACCGTCATCTGGGTTGACGGCGACCGCTACGACGACACATGGGAGGACACCAAGCCCAAGGGCCAGGGCACATTCCGGTGGGCCGACTGAAAGGTCCTAATATGGCTAGAGGAGGGGTGAATAGCATATTTAAAAATCTACAAATCAACTAGAGCAATTTGATTAGTATAACAAATAGCGAAATGCAAACTTGCTCTAGCTCTACAAGGGTTGCAAGCCACCTATCCAACAATTCTAGTTGCTATGATCTCTAGACACACAATTTGTTATGTCACTACTCACTAAGAGCTCTCACACTTGCTACACTAAAGAGCTCCACTAGATGAACTTAAAACAACAAAGCAAGCTCTCAATTCTAATTACACTAAAGAGTTTGCTACAACTAGTTTACAAGAATATAAATGAGTGAGTAGGGTGATTATACCGCCGTGTAGAGGAGTGAACCAATCACAAGATGAACACTAAATCAATCACCGGGAGAATACCAAAGGGCAAGAGACAACCAATTTTTCTCCCGAGGTTCACGTGCTTATCGGCATGCTAGTCCACGTTGTGTCGACCAACACTTGGTGGTTCGACGGCTAAGAGGTGTTGAACGAACCTCGTGCACACAATAGGACACCGCAAGAACCCACCCACAAGTGAGGTAACTCAATGACATGAGCAATCCACTAGAGTTACCTTTCGGCGCTCCACCGGGGAAGGCACAAGACCCCTCACAATCACCACGATGGAGCCAGAGACAATCACCAACCTCCGCTCAACCATCCTCGCTGCTCTAAGCCATCTAGGTGGCGGCAACCACCAAGAGAAACAAGTGAATCCCGCAGCAAAACATGAATACCAAGTGCCTCTAGATGCAATCACTCAAGCAATGCACTTGGATTCTCTCCCAATCTACAATGATGATGGATCAATGATGGAGATGAGTGGGAGGGCTTTGGCTAAGCTCATAAGGTTGCTATGTCAATGCAAATGGCCAAGAGAGTGAGCTTGAGTCGACCATGGGGCTTAAATAGAAGCCCCCACGAAATAGAGTCGTTGGCTCCTCAGTCCATTGAAAAACGAGATGACCAGACATGCAGGTCAGATCGACCGGACGATGGACCCCAGCGTCCGGTCGCGCGATGTGTGCCACGTGGCCCCTGCTTTAAACGTTGATCGCCCGATCTCAACATTCATTAGTACATTTAAGTTGTGACCAGACGCGTTGCTTGAAAGTGACTGGACGTAGGACCTCAGCGTCCGGTCGTTTCCAGTAAGCATCCAGAAGTGAAAAATCACGACCGAACGCGTCCGGTCCTACCCGACCGGACTCACCCAGCGTCCGGTCACTCGACGTCTCCTCTGTGTCCTGCCACATTAGCAGGACCAGACGCACCCCGTCAGCGTCCGATCACTAAGTGACCCAGCATCTGGTCGAAGACCGACGCCAGCGTCTTCACACTTCCACTGACCGGACACGCCAGTCCTACCGAGACCAGCGTTCGGTCACTTACAGTGACCTCCGTCTTTTCTATATAGAGCGCCGGTGGCACCATCGGACTGTTCGCACTCTACGGGTGGACACTCCGCCGGTGAAGTTCCTAACCCTTGCTCAAATGTGCCAACCACCAAGTGTATCACCTTGTGCACGTGTGTTAGCATATTTTCACAAATGTTTTCAAGGGTGTTAGCACTCCACTAGATCCTAAATGCATATGCAATGAGTTAGAGCATCTAGTGGCACTTTGATAACCGCATTTCGATACAAGTTTCACCCCTCTTAATAGTATGGCTATCAATCCTAAATGTGATCACACTCAGTAAGTGTCTCGATCACCAAAACAAAATGGCTCATACCATTTATACCTTTACCTTGAGCCTTTTGTTTTTCTCTTTCTTCTTTTCAAGTCCAAGCACTTGATCATCACCATGGAATCACCATCATCATGTCATGATATTCATTTGCTTCACCACTTGGAATGTGCTACCTATCTCATGATCACTTGATAAACTAGGTTAGCACTTAGGGTTTCATCAATTCATCAAAACCAAACTAGAGCTTTAAATCTCCCCCTTTTTGGTAATTGATGACAACCTTTTCACAAAGATATGAATTGAAATTCAATTGAATCCATGTTGCTTGCCCAAACATATTTACCATGTGTAAAAGGATATGGACAAGTTTCATGAACTCCAAATGGTATCAATTGCTCCCCCTACATATGTGCTAAGAGTTTGGATGGTAGCTTGCACATATGCTTAGATAGAAAATATAGAAGACAATGTCTACCAAATGATGATAAGGTATAAGAGATGAACCTTTGAAGCATGATACCAATCGGAGTGAACCAATGTACCATCCTTAGCACTATTAGTAACTAGACATACACAAAAACTAGAATACCCCATGAGATTAACATTACAAGCAAGGGTCTAGTTTCCATACGATGAACATAAGTCTAGTTACTTTAGCCTATGCATGCTAGTTTTTCATTTTACCATTCAAGCATATAACTAGCATACACCACACAAGCATGGATATTGAAATTTAAAACTTGTGCCATGCAAGCAAATTTATGAAATACACATTCAAATACAACATACAAGTTTATGAGCTTGCTCCCCTACTTGTGTGCATTTTTTATTGATCCCCTTACAATGTCATTTCATTTGTTTTCATTTGTTTGCTCCTCCTATCTTACTATCTTTGTGAATTTCTCTCCCCCTTTGTCAACAATTAGCACAAAAGGTGAGCTCAAATTATAGATAGGTTGGGGTGAAACCATGTGAAATGAGGATCATTTTCCCAATTTGGTTCAATATAGATTACTTGCAAAAGATATTTAACTCAGTTTGATCCAAGGACAAGCTTCTTTATACCTCTAAATAAGGGTTATCTTGTACCATGTTGAGTTAAACACTTATAGCTTATTTTCTAGATCAAACACTAGGTTTACAAGCCCACAAACATGTCATATGCTACCACTATATCATTTCAAACATACAAGCAATAGTGGTACCATACAAGCATCAAATTCATTTGATTTTCATGAATGAGCCTAGGACATGATAGGAATGACTAGATACACTAAACAAGTCCTTAGCAATGGATAGATGACATGTCAATCAACTTTACCTTGCTTTGCTTGAAGGAGAGGCATGTCATATAATGGGGGTGCATCAACACATATTGGAGAAGTCAAGTATGTTCAATTCATTCCTTAGCTTGCAAAATCTCTTCTCATCAAGTGGCTTGGTGAAGATATCGGTAAGTTGATCTTCGGTGCCCACACTCTTAATGCAAATGTCCCCTTTTTGTTGGTGGTCTCTTATGAAATGATGGCGGATATCAATATGCTTTGTTTTTTAATGTTGAACCAGGTTGTTGGTGAGCTTTATGGCACTTTCATTGTCACATAGCAATGGCACTTGCTTGAATTTGATTCCAAAATCACTCAAAGTAGCCTTCATCCAAAGTAATTGAGCACAACAACTACCGGCCGAAATGTACTCCGCTTTGGCGGTTGAAAGTGCTACACTATTTTTCTTCTTTGATGACCAAGACATAAGTGATCTTCCCAATAATTGACATGTGCCCGATGTGCTCTTTCTCTTAACTTTACATCCCGCATAATTGGAGTCCGAATATCCAATCAACTTAAATCTTGCTCCTTTGGGATACCACAATCTAACATTTTGTGTATGCTTCAAGTACCTCAATATTCTCTTTATTGCCTTCAAATAACTTTCTCTTGGTGAGGCTTGAAATCTATCACACATACACACACTAAACATCACATCCAGCCTTGATGCGGTCACATAGAGTAGGCTTCCAATCATAGACCGATACATCTTTTGATCCACCCTGTTGCCACTACCATCACTATCCAAGCTTCCACTTGTTCCCATTGGTGTACTAATAGCTTTAGAATCATTCATTCCAAACTTCTTGAGCATGTCCTTGATATACTTGCCTTGACTTACAAATGTGCCATTCTTCATTTGCTTGATTTGAAGACCAAGGAAGTAACTAAGCTCTCCAATCATGGACATCTCAAACTCACTTGCCATCATCTTGCCAAACTCTTCACAAAAATCTTGATTTGTTGACCCAAATATGATATCGTAAACATAGATTTGCATTACAAACAAGTCATTTCTAAGCTTCTTGGTGAAGAGAGTGGTGTCAACCTTTCCCATTTTGAATCCCTTAGAGAGTAGGAAATCCCTCATTCTCTCATACCATGCTCTAGGTACTTGTTTCAATCCATACAAAGCCTTTCTCAACTTGTAAACATTGTTGGGTTTCTTTTCATCTTCAAAACTAGAAGGTTGCTCTACATACACAAGCTCATTGATGTACCTATTGAGAAATGCACTCTTCACATCCATTTGGTACAACTTGATGTTGTGGGCACAAGCATAGGCTAACAAGATCCTAATTGCTTCCAATCTTGCAACCAGGGCATATGTTTCTCCAAAGTCAAGACCTTCAACTTAAGTATAACCTTGAGCCACTAATCTTGCTTTGTTCCTTATTACTATCCCATCTTGATCTTGCTTGTTCCAAAAGACCCACTTGGTTCCAATCACATTATGATCCTTAGGCCTCTCAACTAACTCCCATACTTGGTTTCTTATGAAGTTGTTTAGCTCTTCATGCATAGCATTGACCCAATCAACATCCTTCAAAGCTTCATCTATCTTCTTAGATTCAATGGGTGACACAAATGAAAAGAGCTCACAAAATGAAGCCAATCTTGATCTAGTTTGCATACCTCTTGAAATATCACTAATTATAGTGTCCAATGGATGATCTCTTGCAACATTGGTTGGTTGAAGCACTTGCACTTGATTGATTGCATTTAATTGATCACTTGGTTGAGAAGATAAACTAGCTACTTGTTGTTGATCTTGCACTTTGTCATCACTAGTACTTGCTTGAACTTGATCATAAAAACCACTAACTTGCACATTTAAGTTAGAGAGCACTTGATTCTTGTCATCTTCAACATCAATCACTTCTCTAGGCCTTATATCACCAATGTCCATGTTCTTCATTGCATTGACTAATTATGTGCCTCTTACATCA